GTGTGTGTATACACACACATGTGTATGTGTTGTCTGAGTTAGGGCATCCTTTTGTCACCCAAGCTTTCATTGATCTTGCTATTTAAAATAGGTATGCTGGCCTCAAACTTGAAGTGATCTTCCTGTCTCAGCCTCCAAACTGCTGGTCCTATAGGTGTACATGACCAAAATTAACAATACTTGAAAGAAGTGGTTAGCAAAATGATAAGAAAAACTGGAGAATTTCAGTGGAATTGGAATCTATAAATGAAATAATCAAAGCTGGATATGGCAGTGCACACTTTAGTCCCAGCAATTAGGAGGCTACAGCAGAAGGATCAAGGTTCAAGGCCACCCTGGGCTGTTTAACAAGACCCTATCTCTAATAAGTAAATATCATGTAAGAGCTATAAAACATGGAAGACAAAATTAGTGGGTTCATAGGTTCATTATTAGAAGAATTCTCAGGGCAATGTGTAGATTAAATGCCTGGGGATGTGTGGGGAAGGACAATGTATGAACTAAGTGGAACACAGTGGAAAGGTCTAGTTTCTCTGTACCTGGAGTTCTAGGAAATGGGAGAGTGGAACAGTAATAATTATTACTAGGAAAGGACTAGCCAGAAAATAGTTTTTCTTTAAAAATAGTTTTTGTTAACTCTGAACTTGAAGCAGGATAAAGGAAATTCGGTGTACTTCAATCAGGTATAGCATTACTAGCATTACCAGACTATAAAAATCAAAGCCAAATAGCTATGGGAAGTTGGTATATACTTGCCTTTTCCTCACTGCATACAGAAGCTGGAAACAGGTAAAATATCTTTAGTGTCTCTCTCTGTCTCTCTGTCTCTCTCTCTCTCTCTCTCTCCTTTATTTGTGTGTGTGTGTGTGTGCACATGCACATGTGGAAAGATCAGAGGACAACCTGTAGGAGTTAGCTCTCTCTACAATGTAGATTCTGGTCCTCAAACTCAAGTCACCAGGTTTGGTAGCAAAGCACTTTTACATGTTAAGCCACCCTGCCAAAAATTATGCTTTTAAAGTGCTTTGGAAAAAATTTTTGTAAAATACCAATATTGTCTTACCACATTTATAATACATCTAAAAATAAATTCAATGGGGCTGGAGTGACCACTCAGTGCTCCCCAGGAGGACCTGGATTCCATTCCCAACACCCACATGGTGACTGACAACTGCCCATAACTAGTTCCAGGGGAAGCAGCATCCTACTCTGGATTTTGTGCATATTACATGCATGTGGTACATGGGCATAAATGCAAGCAAAACCACCCATATGCTTAAAACTTAAAAAAATATTTAAAGAGTAAAAAGGAAAAATAAATTCCATGATAATAACACAAAGGTCACAGGGTGTAAAATAGTAGTAGGAAATAGTTCTGACTTTCTGTTAATACTTACGGATTATAAAAAATACTCCTTTAAAGTAAAGTATAAGCCCCAGAAAAGCATATTGCAATTGCAGTAGAATGTGGCTCAGTAGAAGACTATGTGGACTGTAGAATGCTCACTTAGCATGCACTTGGTCCCTAGCACAAAAAACAAAATCCAGTAGAATGTAATGATGAACAGTGATTTTTTTTCTTTAATCAAATAAAAAGAGGACAAAAGAATAGATGGAGAAAACAGCAAGTAAATGGGATGATAAACCTAACAGTGGTAGATACTTTAATCCCAGCACTCAGGATGCGGATAAGTAGTTCTCTTGAGTTTGAGGCCAGCCTGGTCTACACAGTGAGTACTAGGATAGCTAGGGCTACACAGAGAAACCAGATCTCAGAAGAGGAGGAGAGGGGGTGGAGAAGAAGAGGAGGAGGAGGAGGAGGAGGAGGAATAGTTAAACCTTTACCCATAATTGCATTGTTTGTAAGTGCACTAAATATTTTAAATATATGCATAAAAAACAGATTTTAAATATATGCATAAACACTTACCTCTAATACACCCCAATCACTCCTCATATTTCTTTTGAGACAAAGTCTTTTTAATTGAACCTAAGGCTCATATTTTTTTTTCCTTGACTAAGCTAGAAATTAGCAGACCCCAGAAATCCTTCTGTTTCTGCCTCACCCCTCATCGCTGCCCTTGGAGCTGGTATTACAAGTATACTTTGGCTACCCAGTTTATTATATGAATGCTGGATTATGGATGGTCCTCATGACTTTGTAGTGCTCTTAACCATTGAGCTATCTTTCCAGCCCATATAGTAAGTACTATTTTTAAGAGATATACTTTAAATATATAAGCTATGCAAAAAGATTAAAATGTAGAGATTGGAGAGAAATATACTATTCAAGATACCAGCCAAAAGAAAACCTGTACAGCTGTGAGCTTCAAGGCAAGAAATATTGCAAAAATGAGACGAAGATCAATGAATATTGATGAAAGGAAGGGTCAGTTGAACAGGGAAACATAAAAGTCCAAATGTTTAACTAACTACATATCTGTAAGTGTACAATGCATAAATAAACATTCAAATAAGCAGGATATAAATAGTTTGTAGATTTTTTTTTCTTTTGGCAGAGGAAGTACTAGGGTCAGGTATGCGCTAAGCCAGCACTCTCCCACTGAGCTACCATTTGAACCCCCAGATTCCCAAGCTTCAAACAGGAAAAGATTATATATTGTCCATCTTTGATTACTGAAGAGAATTAACATACAGCATCAACCAGCTACTATTATTTTACCAAAAAAAGTCAACAAATATAAGCAGTAATGAAATACTTTGTTGACGGAGTGCAAAGCCATTATTACTATCTGTTTTAAGTATGAAGTGTTACGGTCTTTCATCTTTTTATTAAAGAGCAGGCATGAAAGAAATGACTTCCTGCCACACTCCGAAGTTAATGTCTTACTCAGAATCTTTCAAGTGCTTCTGAGGAAGTGATTGTTTTTCTGAAGATTGATGGGAGGTCATTTCTGCCATGCTTTACTTTTAAATTTGTTGACATAAAACTCTGAATAGTTCTGATTATCAAAAAATTCTGAAGGGTCAAATCTTGAATGAAAATTATTAGTAATGAGGACTGAAGTATAATTCAGTAGTAGAACATGTGTTTAGTATACATAAGACCCTGGGTTCAGAGAGTGGAGAGACAGCTTAACAGTGGTTAAGAGTGCACTACTCTGATAGAGAACTGGAGCTCAGATCCAGCTCCCACATTATACCATACACAACTGCCAGTAACTTCAGCTCCAAGAGTTCCAATGCCGCCTTATATACTCTGCAAGTTCTTGTTCTTTGCCTCTCTTCTTTTCCCCATCCTTTCCTCTTCCCCTCTTCTCCCATTCTCCCATTCTCTCTCTCTCTCTCTCTCTCTCTCTCTCTCTCTCTCTCTCTCTCTCTTTCTCTCTCTCTCTCTCTCTCTCTCTCTTAAAAATACAACAAATCTTTTAAAAGTAAAAGGCCCTGGGTTCTATCTCCAGTACCCCCACCTCCAAAAAGGAGAAGTGATTGATACTTAAAGTTGGCTTTGTAAGTTTAGGCTTATTTAGACTAATTAATGTTAGTCTTTAAGAAGTACAGAAACTCTAGGCATATATGATCAATAACAGAAGGTTTCCAGTTACAGTACGGTTTCATTGAATGTTAAAAATTTGGTCATTTTCGCATGTGTCTAACAACTTCTGGCTTTATTTCTGTAGCAGAAAATATATTGGATTTCACTAAAAAGTGATAGGTTCTTTGGTGAAAACATTCTCTTTCAATTTTTAAGACTTAAGTATTTTGAGGAATCAGTTATTCTTTAGAAGGTCATAACTAAAAATGGAAATAGTTTTTTATCATATTCCATAGGGTTTTTTTTTATCATATTCCATTGTTTTAAAGCAGTCATAGTCAGTGAACAGTCTTACTGCTGGCAAGGGTAAGACTGGCAGTGAAGGTTGATAATGGGATGTGGGAAAGAGTCAAGGTTTTGCTGGCTTGACAAATGTATTAGTTGTTTTATATGTTGCTGGAATAAAATACCTGAGTTAAGGAAGGAAGGAAGAGCTTATTTTAGCTCACAATTGAAGGTACTATTCTGTCATAGGAATGAGTCATAACTGTAGAAGTGTAACATTGTGTCTAGTCAAGAAGCAGAGAGAGATGAATGCTAGTGTAATATAAATTCAGCCCAAGACCCCAACTCATAGAATGGGGCTACCGACAGTTAAGTGCGTCTTCCCATCTCAAATAACCTACCCAAGATAGTCCCTCCTAGGTGTTTCTAGAGGCTGTCTTAATCTAGATAATCCTTGACAGCCATGCCCAGACGTTTTCTCCTAGATGATTTCACCATCATAATGAGTCAGTGTCTAGAAGAGAAGCTTGCTAGCTTGGGACAGTGCACATGGGAAGGAACTTAAAAAAGAACAAAAGAAATGAATGGTGTAATAAGACAAATCCAAATAGGTGATAATAGATAAGGAAACTCAGAGTAGTGAAATAGTTATGTGGTTAGTATACACAAAAATAAAACTAGAATTCTCTCCTAATTTAGTTTCAATTCCTTATTAGTTAAAGTTGGGGTTATTAAATGGTAATAGAAAATACCAATCACCCTAAATTCTCAGTCAAATTTAGTTGGCATTTGAAGATACTGTGTTACAAGTAAAAGTTTAAATGGAATGAATAATTGGTCATATATTAAAATATAAATTATCTCTGGGCAGTGGTGGCACACTCCTTTATTCCCAGCACTCAGGAGACAGACAGGCGGATCTCTGCCAACCTGGTCAACAAGAGCTAGGAGAGGGTCCAAAGCTACAGAGAAACCTTGTCTCGGGGGGAAAATATAAATATAAACACACACACACATACATATATAAATGATTATTCATATAATCATTTCTCAACTTTTCTTTGTATAAATTGATATTTAAATTTTATCCTATTCTCTGTTGAAAATGTCTTTTCACTAGATAAACTTAGTATGTCTTTTGTTACTGGCTAGGACATTTACTCTGTTTTGCTATTTGTGGCTAGGACCATTATTTTTAACGTTTGAATCTTAACATTAGGTATGGTAAACCGTGAAGTACTGGAACAAGTAGAGCGAGGGTACAGGATGCCTTGCCCTCAGGGCTGTCCAGAATCCCTCCATGACTTGATGAATCTTTGTTGGAAGAAGGACCCTGATGAGAGACCAACATTTGAATATATTCAGTCCTTCTTGGAAGACTACTTCACTGCTACAGAGCCACAGTACCAACCAGGAGAAAATTTATAATCCAAGTAGCCTGTGTGTGCAGATCTGCCAAAACATAAAGACCTTCTGGGAGTTTGTTATGCACGGGAATGAGAAGATATTCTTCACTCTTCATGTTTCTATGGTAAACTGGAATTCCAGATATGGTTGCACAAAACAGTTTTTCCCACCAAGTGTTAAACTCTAAAGTACCAATGATACATCTTATAACTTACTTCATGGTCCAAAGAGCGTCAAGCTAAGATATTGATGGTAAGAAAGAGCAACAAGACTACTGTTTACTCGTCACTTCCTTTCCTTCCCAAAAACTCAGAGAAAACTATTTATTGATATGGACAAAATTTGAGCTATTATACCATAGTAAAATTTAAAATCAAAGAACTCTATGGGACCAAATAATTTCATTCCAGTTTTTAAAAAAATCTCTTGCATTTTTTTTTCAAAAGTTAGGTTTTTGTTTCATTTTGTTTTTCTATTTGACAGTTGCCATGCAGTCTTCACACAGACCTCCTTTTGTGTGGAATGGGCCAAGTCTTCCAAAAGCAGAAAGGAGATTATAAACAACATCAAACACTTGATTTAATGTTAGACCACAGAAATGGAATTTGGAAGCATAATATCCTATGTTCACACTTAGTTCGTAGAACTGGAAAGTAGAGAGACAGCTTTTTTACTTTCATCGTTTTGAATTGTTCATAATAAAAGTAGCCAGAATGTGAGCTTATCATTTGCAAGATTGTACTGATTGTCTTAAGGCAATGTACAATTGAAATTATATCCAGTTCCAGGGAAAATCTTAGTATTTGCATAGCATAAAAATAAAAGTCCAGCATTTAAGCAGTCCATTTTAAAAAATAGATGGAGTACTGTGAGGTGTTGTTAAATGTGTTTTTATGGTGATGGACTCCACACATAGAAAACATCACTAGATCAGGAACTTGAATGCACTTTGCTTGTATTGAGTATAGAATAAGAGACAGGATAATGTATTTAAATAAATATGAGAGAAGAAAATGTGAAAATTTTACAGATACTGGGATGGGATGGAGTGTTTAATGTTGGTGTTATGGAGTGACATCATGGCTTTGATGGCACTCAGAGCACCTCATTAGCTGTTTCTGAGACTTTAAAAGTTATGAAGTATGATTGTAAAACTAATTTTTCTTAACATATACACTAAATAAGTTTTACATCCTCAAAATAGTGAAGATAAGGCTTAACACTAATTTCAGTGGCCCTATTTTATACAGAACCTTTTTAGAACTGCAATTCTCAAATTTCTGAAACTTCACTTACATTTCAAATATACTTGATGGTTATAGTTTCCTTTCATAATATAATCAATTTGAAGAAGAATACATACTCTGAGTAATAGTAATTTAAAGGGGGGATTTTTTTCCAGTTTAAAGTACAGAAGTAAAACTTTAAAAATGAGTTTTTCTAACTCAAATTATGAAGTATTAATTTGAATTGAATAGTGCTAATGGTTTAAGGGTCTAGCAAGGAAAAAGCTGAGTCTGCTAAATAAATTAAAAGTCTAATATTTATGTTTTTTAAATGCTGTGCTTTATAGTTACACTTTAAAGCATTGTATCAAGTTTTCTATTTTCAGCATATAATTTTAAATGTCCATCATTTTAATCACTAAATTTAAAGTTCTGTGCCATGGTAAATTATGTTCAAATTTAACTCTTTTTAAATGTGACAAGTGAACTTTATACAAGTTGGCAAAAGTTCTGGTACTAAAAGTTCTACTTTTTTTCCACTTAACCTATTCAAAGGATCTCCCGAGAAGAGTGTCGTCGTTGTTTGCCCTGGTGTCTATAGTTTGTGTCATGAATGTTTTAAAGGGCTTCATGTGATCTGTGGTATTGTAGTTTCTCTAAGCAGTCTTCAAAGGGTAATTATGTTTATATACTAATTCTGGTCAGAAAAATAAGGCAGGAAATGTTGATGGCATTCTTTAGATTTTAAACGAATTGAATGGGGCAGTTCTTATAATAACACTTGTAAAAATACAACACTAACTTAATGTGTATTCAGTTTAAATTGTTATGTATTTTTAAATTGTCAAGAAAAGAAACAGTTTTGTACATTTGAAGATTTTTTTTCCCAACAGCTTTCATCTTTTTTATCTAAACTTTGAACTTTAACCCTTACCAAAAAAGAAAAGTTGGCAAAACCAGCCTTCTAGCACAAACACTTTTTTTAAATAAATAATGGTAACCTAAGACTTAATATTTTTATAAAATGTTGTAATATTGTTTTGTGGATAATTGAAATAAAAATCTTTGTTGTATGCATCTATATATCTTTTCAGTTGCTCATTAACTTTGTAAATATTGATTGTTCTAAATGTATTCTTCCTTTGTAAAAATGTTCAGTTAGAAATTGTCCATCCCAGCCAACTAGAGTTAACATCAATTCTTTCTTTCTTAAGTTCAGAACACTATTGATTTATTTTACATGATTAATTTTCTGTGTATAGTAATGACATTTTCTAAAATTGTATCAACAAATACAACCACTGTGTCACATAGAGAAACCTGGGTGATTTAAGGTAAGGTGTTTCCAACTATGCAGGAGTTAAGTAGGATAGCCCCTTGGCCACCAAGAACTTATTTTCCTAAAACTGCACAAAAGTCTCTGTGTTCTGCAAACCTTTTTTCACAGGTTTAAGGAAAATAAAAATTTAAATGCCTGGTCAAAAGCTTTTGTGATTTTCAATATTATAATTGTGTTAACTACTTTTTACTATTACTTCATGTAAAATTGTTGCCCTTTTCATGATTTCCAAAAAAAAACGAAAAAGAAAAGAAAACAGCACAATGCTTCCTTCAATTCATTCTTAATGTAGTTTATTAACAATTCCCTAGAATGTTTTTCCAGCTGGGCATGTTGTACATGCTTCTAATCCCCAACATTTGGAAAACAGAGAAAGGCAAATCTTTTATTTCCAGGCCCAACCTGGTCTACATAGACAGTTCCAGTTCAGCCAAGGTTACACAGCTTACTATCTTTTTTTTTTCCTAGTTTGACAATTGACTTTTAGTGTTACATGTGCTTGACTGACATTTAAGTTGTACATTTGTATTTTGCCAAGTTTATTCCTTTTTATGCTTAGAAAGCATTTTTCTGACCCACTATTAAAAATTCATGCCACCTATTTTATAGTTTATGCTTTTAAAAATATTTTGATTTATTTAGAAAGCTATTGGAATATAAAACATTACTTTTTAGTATATTATCTCTTACTTTTCTTTGGGTTTCCAACACAGTGAAAACTCAAATCAGTCTTGCATGGGGGCAGAACTTAGCTTGGATCTCATTGGTGTTGCTATGTATTGGTATTGGAAGATGATTGTCATCTCACTGTGATTCCTCTGCTCTCAGGATGCCATTGCAGAGCTTCTGAGGGGTTCTCTCGATAACAAAACTTACATAATGAATCTGTATAGCAAGAAGGGATTTATTACATTTATTACAGTTGGAATAGCTGTTGGTCCAGCTATTCCAACAATGACTGGCTATGAAAGGAAAGTTCAAGAATCTAGTAGTTACTCAGTCCATGAGGCTGGTTGTCTCATCTGGTCTTCAGTATATCCTGGAAGCCCAAAGTCATTGGCTCTAATGCCATTGAAGGAATGGACTTGCTTGTGAGGTAAAAGCAAGCAGCTTCCTTCTTCCATGACCTTAAAAGGCTTCCAGAAGAAATTGTGACCCAGATTATATCTGGATTAAAGATCTGGACTAAAGGTATGTCTTTCCACCTCAAGATCCATATTAAAGCGTATCTCTTCCCAGCTCAAAAGACCTGGATAAAAGGCATATTTTCCTACCTCAAAGATCCAGAGTAAATGTAGTCAAGTTGACAGTGTAGTCACTACTTCCTTTCTTAAAATCTGTTCTTCCCAGCCCTTGTGTTAATGGTGGTTTTGTTTTTGCACTTTTCCTGTTGTGATGTGGGAAGCCATTCTGTATATGTTTTGCTTTTATTGGTTAATAAAAAAAGAAACTGCCTTGGCCTGTGATAGGACACAGTAGAGCTAGGTGGAGAAAACTAAATTGAATGTTGGGGAAAAAGAAGGCAGAGTCACAGGACACCAGCTAGAACCTTGCAGGTAGGCCACAAGCATAATGGTAAAATAGAAAATAATAGGGATATAAGAGCTAGCTAGCAATACAATTAAGTGATTGGTCAAGCAGTGAATTAAATAATAGAGTTTCTGAGTGGTTATTTTGAGTCTGGATAGCTGGGAAAAAACAAGCGGCCTCCTTCAACATTATTGTTTAAACCAGGACTGCTTAAACTTTCCATTGGAATATGCAAAGCCAAACCCCGCCCTAACCCTAACAGTAACCCTGGCTGATACCATGTTCATGCATATGCAAATCCAAACCCTGCCCTAACCCTAACACTAACCCTAGCTGTGACCCAGATCCTGCCCTAACCCTGATGTTCATGCATATGCAGATCCGAACCCTGACCCTAGCTGTATGTAACCCTAACCCTGACCCAGCCCTGATTCCACCCAAACCCTAACCCGGCCCTAAAACTAATTAATAGGCAGAGACACGCCCCAACCTTCTCCAGACGTGCTCATGAATATGCAAATCCTAACCCCAGCCCTGAAACCAATCCTAACCTTAGCTGTATGAAACCCTAAAGGTGACAGAACCCTGACCCGCCCTAACCCAACCCTAACCCTAACGTGTATGCAGAAACATGCCCCGCCCCTCTCGAGATGTTCTCATGAATATGCAAATCAGAACCCAACACAACCCCAACCTCAAACCCGCCCTAACCCTAACAGTAACCCTAGCTGAAACCATGACCGCGCCCTATCTCTAATGAATATGCAAAGGCATGCCCCACCCTTCACATGACGTATTTAAGCATATCAAATAAGAACCCAAACCCAACCCCGCCCTAACCCGAAAAGGGACCCTAGCTGTGACCCTGACCCCACCCTAAACCTAATGTTCATGCATATGCAAATTCAAACCCCACCCTAACCGTAATATGGACCCCCACCCTAACCCTAATCAATATGCAAAAGCAAGCCCCACACTTCTCATGATGTGTTCATGCATGAGAAAATCTGAACCACAACCACAACCCAGCCCTAAACCTAACAGTGACCGTAGCTGTAACCATGACCCACTCTAACCCTAATGAATATGCAAAGGAACGCCCACCCTTATGACTTGTCCATGCATATGCAAATCAGAACTCCAACCTGAACCCAATCTTGACCCCACCCTCATCCGAATGGTAACCCTAGCTGTGACCTTGTCCCCGCCCTAAACCTAATATTAATGCATATGCAAATCAGAACCCCGCCCTAACCCTAACAGTAACCCTAGCAGTTGTTTATATACCCCTTGGCATCTAGGTGGACAAGAAAAAAAGTATTCCTCAGGACACAATTCTTGTAAACCATTACAATTTTTTACACACAACCCACTCCAACATTCTGTCTCTTTTTCTTTTTCTTTTTTTTTTTGATAAACACCCCTGGGCTTGTAAAATACCTCCCCCATTCCCTCATCCCTATATCAATTATAACCAACCCCTAAATGATGTCCCTAAACCTGAAGGCAAATTCTACTGGGAGAGGGGACATCGTCCTCTAGAATTGCTTCCAGCTGTCATGGGGGCGACATTTCTCTTAGGGGGTCCTGTGAAAATAATTGATGGTAAAATTCCCACATAAACATTTGGTGTGAGAAAGTTGCAAATAGTCTCTGAGTAGTTTGAGGAGGTCTGGCCAGAGTGTTGTCAAATTTTGTGTATCATTCGGAACTGTTTTGTGTAGCTGGTACCAAAAAACAGGTCTAAAAATAGCACTATCAACATTATGATGTCATAGTAACCAGGTGGAGTTGGTGTTGTGGGGCCCCATCTTCATCCTAGAAGCTTTAAAGATTACTGCAGGAAAACTTATTGTTTGTCATGGGAAAGTTAAACATTATCTACAATGACATATACAGACAGACACACACACACACACACACACACACACACACACACACACATATATATATATATATATATATATATATATATATATATAAAGATAGAAACAGATGTGGGGAAAGGCAAAAAAAAAATTTATCAATTATACTTATTCTGTCCCGTATCTTGGCTCTTGACATGAGACAGAAACTCTGGGATATCTCTTATCAACAAACTTGGAAATGAAGAGGGACTGAGCCATAGTCCAACTCCAAAACCAGCTCAACATATTTATAAATAAATGCACATTAGTACATATTAAAAAAATAGTAATGCTTACCTAAACTATTTGGATTCATTGTTGATCCTCTTTGGGTCGTAGGTGGTTTCTATATTCAATTATCCAGGGTCCCTTGGATCCTTTGAAAATGAGCCTTCTCCTGTGGAGACAAGAAAAGAACCCTGCCCCCAACCTATATATTTCTCTTACCATTGGTGTGATTATTATCCTTGTAAGTGAGTTATTTATCTCTTCCAAGAGGCTTCTCTTCTTCAAACCGAACCTTTATTAATTTTGATGGTATCCACAATTTTCCCTCTCCTGTGGAAACAAGAGCAAAACCCCTTCCCCAATGCAGCACATCTCCTGGTTTCCACTGTGAGGTCAGCACATCCTTGAAATAAATTGGTTGATTTTATTCAGCAGACTTTTCCAATATCCAATGTCTTCCTGCAGCCATTGTCCCCTTCTCATTAGCACTGAGAAAATTCAAAATTAATAAAGCATTATGTAACCTATTCCTGAGGGTATTTTCCACCCCTTTCTGTTTGTTCAACATATCTTTTATAGTTCGATTTGATCTTTCTATAACTGCTTGACCTGTAGGATTGTATGGTATACCTGTAACATGCTTAATATTATATATAATAAACAAAAAATCGTTTCATTTTCCTAGAAACATAAGCTGGACCATTATCCGTCTTTATCTGTGTAGGTATACCCATGATAGCCAAACTTCTAATAAATGAGTGATTACTGAAT